TTCTATCAAAGAGCAGAATAAACCCCGAGTTTCCCAGCAAGAAAATTCATCAAGTGGAGAGTTATCACAGAACTACTAAAATGAATCAATGCAAAGGGCTTAGAATTCTACATGGAGTATGTCTGACAAAGCAGACTTACTGCTTTATGTACACAACTGTTAGAGGATTTCTAGTTACGATTTATGGTAAATCCATGTACTTCTAATATTCAGCTTTATATAATGGAGATGCAATGAGTAATAAAATGTAAGAGGATTAGAAGGTCATCCAGATTTGCTGAATACGGCCTAACATAATATCTTAAAAATGGTTAAATAACAGTTGTACATGTTAGAAATCTCATCACCTTAGAATGCCATGAAATCCAAGGCAAACTCATTCCTAAACTGCAAATGACATTACATTTTAGATCAACAGTATGAGAACAGACTTAAATCTAAAACTTGACAACAGGATAGGTAAACCACCACACAAGGAACACTGCTGAAAAGCAGAGTGGAGAAATTATATAACTAGACTCAGTCTAATAGTTTGGGTTGGAAAGTACCTTAAGATCATCTAGTTTCACCCCACCTGTCATGGGCAGGGATGTCTCACAGTAGACCACGTTGCCGAAGGCTCGGTCCAACCTGGCCTTGAGCACTGCCAAGGATGGAGCATTTACCACATCTTTGGGAATCCTGTTCCAGGGCCTCACCACCCTCACAGAACAGAACTTCTTCCTTGTATCTAACATCAACTTCCCCTGTTTCAGTTCAAACACACTGCCCCTTGTCCTATCACTCCAGTCCCTCTACAGCATCCCTGTAGGCCCACTCCAGGTACTGGAAGGCTCCTAATGAGGTCTCCACGCAGCCTTCTCTTCTCCAGGCTGAACAGCCCCAACTTTCTCAGCCTGTCTTCGTAGGGGAGGTGCTCCAGTCCCCTGATCATCCTCGTGGCCTCCTCTGGACTTGTTCCAACAGTTCCACGCCCTTTTTATGTTGAGGACACCAGAACTGTACACAATACTCCAGGTGAGGTCTCACAAGAGCAGAGCAGAGGGGCAGGATCACCTCCTTCGACCTGCTGGTCACGCTCCTTTTGATGCAGCCCAGGATGCGGTTGGCTTTCTGGGCTGCAAGCGCACACTGCTGGCTCATGTTCAATTTCTCATTGAACCCCCAAGTCCTTCTCCATAGGGCTGCTCTGAGTTTCATCTCCGCCAAACCTGTAGCTGTGTCTGGGATTGCCCCGAGCCAGGTGTGTATTAGGGGAACGTACAACAATTTGGGAAATTGGGAAACAGATTTGGGAAAAGACAGAGATCACCAACTGCCTGTCTCTAGTCTCACACCTGTTTGCAGCCCTATATATGCCCTGTCTATACTGGGAGCTGTTAGCTCAGGGAGCTGGGCAGAGGGCAGACTTCCTGAAAGATGGTAAGGGGAAAAAAAGGGGCCAGCATGGGGAAGGCGGGAGGAGGAGAAAAAGCAGAGGGAACAAATAAAGAGCAAGAACCTGCTTTTTTGTATTTCTAGTCCAAAAGTTTATCAGCTTGTGCAGACTGACTACTGCAAAGACCTAAGCAGAAAAAAGTACTGTTTTACAGAATACCTTTTAAGTAAGCATACAGTAGAAATTACGTAGAAATTGTGTTATATTTCAAATGTTTTCCAAAGTATCACTGAAATTTCATATTTCGCTGTCCTCATGCATTTTGATCCCTTATTTCTTTAAGTGAATTAGAAAGTGCTTCCTGTAGGAAGCATGTAGGGGAAGAGGAGAAGCCAAACAAAATTCAAGGTGGAGATGAGAAAAGCCTTAAGACATCAATGAGATCCTGGTGAAAAACAAAGGGAAGAGTCACATAAACTTCAGCAAGGGAAATAAAAGGTAAAAAGTATATTTTCTTCAGATACCCAGGCAGAGGATCTGCCATTAAATGATGCAACTCTTTTTCACTCCTAGTCTGACCAGAGTCCAGCTTGCTCTGATTAATGAAGGGCAAAGAATACAAAAAGTTAGCCCATGCTGGTCATTGGCAAGTATGACTGGCTCTGCAGAGAGCTGTAAGTCCTGAACCCACATGTCAGCAGGAGATGCTGGATCAAGACTAATTCAGATGCTGTTGCCTTGAGCACTGATGTATGAAGCAGCTCTGTAGTTCTGTATTAAGTAGTGGATATGGGGTTTTTGGTGTGTTTTGGAAAAAAAAAAGCCTGAGGAGGCAGCAATATTCACTTTTAGGAGTTTTGCTTAAAGGGATTTAGGTAACTGCTACCCAGAATGTGTTGGTTGGTTGTTTTCTAAAAAGAATTTTAAATCCTACTCCATCAAGCCATACAGCTTTAATTTCAAGCCTAATTTTAGCATGAGGTAGCACATCCATACTACACTCAAATTTGGTTAGAATTTCTTAAAATATTTTTTTTTCTTAAAAAATGCAATATCTAGTATGCTGATTTGGAAACAGTACGTTACTTGAAAGAAAGAAGACTATTTATGCTGGCAAAGTTTTTGTTTACTTTTTTTTTTTTAAGACTACTGACTTAAATATTTAAGATCAGTAATCCAGATATGATTTACACAGTTCACAGTCGGCGTTGCCTTAGTATTTTAAGAGGCTTATTTGCCCTAATTGCTAATCCTTAAAAACCTACTTTCCAACTAAATACAGCTTCAGGTTTGATATATTAGCTGGGAGAACATACTGTATTAACATTCTTTTATGCATGCAATTATGTTTGGATTTTTTCCTTAAGTGTTAAACCATTAATACAGAGTAACCGATTTGCTGTTTGTGTCTAGCTCAATCTGTACAGAAACTAAAACTTGATTACACACATAAGAAAAATTTTGAAGTTATTTTTTAAACTGCAGTAATCATTAGAGAAATTATAAAAAAGTGCTCCTGCCCAAATGTGGTTTTTACTTAAAGCTGATTAAGCAGAAGAAGGCCTTACTTATGTTGAGAGAACTAAGCAGCTTGTTTACTGTCACTGCCCTTTAAGATTTTTTGAATGGCAGGTTTCAGGCTAGACACCTGATTGGTATTTGCAGATTGGAAATGAAGAAACAGAACCAAACCCAACCACCTGATCAGTTATCAAGTGGGTGTACTGTGAAACCCAGCTGAAGGTAATCTCTACACTTGCAAACATATTGCTGCTGCCAATTGCTAGTTTAGCATTTAAAACTTTGTACAGTTTTCCATAAAGTTGAAGAAGGCCTCATAACTGCTGATTAAACTATAAACTTCTACAGCAAGAGTTATTTACAAAGAGAAACCAGTGAAACTGTGGCCATCTAACTTGTGTGTATGGATTATACATCTCTAAGTTCGGTAATGCTCTAAGTGTGGCTCTTGCAGATTTTCCCATGATACCATGTCTTTGTCAGCACAGAAACAACTTGGTCATTTCACAGTGTTAAGCAATGCGAACAGTTTCTAAAAGCAACTAGTATTTGTGCTATGGGGGGAAAAAAAAATGGCTTTCTTTTTACTGTCCACTGATTTTAATATTTGAACCAGTATAAACAAACTGCCAAGATGCTCATAAATGCCAAGCACTTCTACTTACGTTGCGAAAAGTTTAACTACTGCATTTAGTTGTATTTTTTTTATTTCTACATCTTTCTTTTTTGTGGGTGTGGAGGGAAGAAGGATGAAAAAACAATAAAAGGTAGGTTCTAATATGACACTTCTTGAAACATTAGATTTTTCCTCACTCTCTAGCACAGAAGTAGAAAATGCTTTTTCTTTTTCCATTGCATTCTGTTTCACAAAGCCTTGCTCATGGCCCCTCAGCAAGTCATTGATGGAATCAGTCTCTTCCTTTCTACATAAAGTTGACTGATAAACAGTGTTTCTAAAAAGAGACTTTTGCTTAATTAGGGTGACCATTTAACTGAAAGCCCAACTATATTAATTTCTCCCATTTTTTTCCTAATAAGCTGTTCCTTTAAAAGCATTTCTTCCTTTATTTTCCTTTTACTGACTGGAGACAATAATAGCAAAGGTCCATTTAAGCAAGGGCTGGCCCTGACATTTAACAGATGGCCTATGCTTATGCTTTTACACTACTGTTGGTGCAATTAAGTAATTACTAGGGATGATTGAAAAAAAATAAATCCCCAAACCTAACAAACCACAACAGTTAAAGCTCTCCTAAAAAAGAGGTACTTGTAAGAATCCCATCATTGATACTAAACAGCTTTTACACACCTTTTAAGGCCAGACCGTCTGTTCTTCCAGTCCTATTAACATGACATGGTCTTTAAATTGCTTTGCATCTATGCCTCAAACAGTCTGACGTTTAGGAACTGATCTCTCTTTGTTTTTCACTTGGTTGGACATGTTTCTAAGTGAACACTGTCCAAGTATTTGAAGTAGAAAACTTTACAGCCTGGCCTTTAGCCCTAGAATGCCCTTATTCTGTTGGTGTTAAACAAGTGAATTTCTCAAAATGGTGGCTAGAGTGGTAAGGAGAAAGCAAACAGCTACTGTGTGTGGAGGTGCTGAATGATGAAAGCAGATCTACAGAATGCCTGTGAAGAGGCTAAAATAGTGCCAAAATACCTGTGAAATATTTTCATAAAACTAGCCTGTCCTTCACAACTGGGACCCCTCCAAGAAACAAGACTCCAAACTACATTTATTGCAACTTAAGATGTATTATTACGACTCTCACTGAAACCTACCAACAAGACAATCAAAAAAATCTCCAGATTAGCTCCTATACCTAAGGCGTCAACGTGTAGGGGTTAATCCTCAATCCCTGTTTTATGACAAAAGGTCTACAAGCAAATTAGACTGAAGTACTTAAACTGGTGTAACTACAGACTTACACCAGTTTTAAGTAAGTTGTTGCTTTGGACAGGAAAATATGATCCCATTTTAATAATACAAATTTACTGCTGTGAAGAAGAGTGTGCTCTAAACAAAACAACCCTCCCACACCAACTCTGTACTCTAATGTGGGTTATGTCCCAGTATTAAAATATTATATCCCCTTACCATCATCTAGTGTGATGTCTTGTAGTCCTATTGTTTGAAAATTCAATTCTCGATCTTCAGGTTCCGGTTTAATGTTAATAGCTGCCCCATCTGGTGAGAATGGAGATGAATCGCATGTGGGGTGGTGCACCAGTGACGACGCTGCATTCAGACCACTCAGCGCCGGACTGTGTGCTTGAGGGGAGTGCTGTCCCGAGTGACTTACAGCAGCTGGCGGGGGAGACGAGGCAGGTCCTGAGCTAGGAGACTGGTAAGGCATAGGTTGGAGCTGGGGTGAAGAAGGTCCTGACAGCGGTGAATGGATCAAAGGGTGGGAAGCTGTTGGGGATGGGGATGAAGTGGATGCTGGATTTGTAGAATGATAAGGGACTTGCTGCAGCTGGGGAGAAGACTGCCCAAGGGAACGACTCATTGCAGGTGGGATGGAGCCCTGCCCAGCGCTTGGACAGTGGTATCCCATTGAAGGCAGGTGAGAAGATGACTGTCCTGAATGAGCTGGGTGTGCTAGTGGGTGTCCTGCTGTACTCGGTGTTGACACAGAACCTGGGCCTGAAGAATGAAACGGCATTGGTGGTAGGGCTTGGCAGCTAAGATTTATCAAATGAGGTACAGCTGTGTCTTGCTGAAATGAAACAGCATCGAATCCTTGGCTGGAGGCAGAGTTCATAGGAAGACCAGACTGCCCATTGTATACATCATTAGACTGCATAGGCTGGTAAGAAGGCCTCACAGGAGGTGCTGATGTTACCTGAAAAGATGGAACCACAGCAGGAGCCAAAACACGACACTCTTCACTTGGACTAAGGTTTCTGCCTTGCATATGTGGCAGGTGGGATACTGCCGAGGTCACCATGGCTGTGTATGGTGGTTGAACAGGACACACGAGGCTCCTGGGTGACGTAGACAGTAAATTGTCATGAGGATGCCCTTGCTCTGGTGAAGGCAATTGAGTTTGGATAGAATGCAGACCTTGGACATTGCTTGTGTGAGGCAGGGCCAAAGATGGAACAGCAGACAAATCCACCTCATCCCTGTGCTCTTGCTTCATTATAACTACAAAAAGAAAAACACTGTATTAGAAACCCAAACCATTTGTACCCTGTTCTAAATATACAGAAATTGCTAATCAGCTTCGAAGTCTCCCCAGCCTCAGAGCAAAACAACTGCTGAACTTTAGCAACGCTAGCCCAAGTTGTGTGTGTTGTTTTAACTACAGCAGTTCTTTCAGCATATCCCTGATTTCAGTGATGGCAACAATTGTTCTTATAATACAGGTATGAACTGACACACTTTATTACAGTGGTGATAACACTGTAACAAAGGGTCATGAAGAGACACTTTATTACAGTGGTGATAACACTGTAACAAAGGGTCATGAAGAGATACTGATTTTAAGTACAAATAGCAGAAAAATGATAACACTCTAAACTCCTAATTACAACTTTATAAAATACACTGTTGAATGAATTGTTATATATCTTTATAGATAAAATGGATTTCAAAACATTTGTGCAATAATAGCTGTAGTTATAATTAAATGTGTTTTTTATTTAAACAGTGTCATTAGGCTGAGAAAGTTGGGGCTGTTCAGCCTGGAGAAGAGAAGGCTGCGTGGAGACCTCATAGCAGCCTTCCAGTATCTTAAGGGGGATTACAAGGATGCTGAAGAGGGACTCTTCATCAGAGACTGTAGTGGCAGAACAAGGGGTGATGGGTTTAAATTTAAGCAGAGGAAGTTTAGATTGGACATAAGGAAGAAATTCTTTCCTGTTAGGGTGGCGAGGCACTGGAATGGGTTGCCCAGGGAGGTTGTGAATGCTCCATCCCTGGCAGTGTTCAAGGCCAGGGTGGACGAAGCCTTGGGTGGCATGGCTTAATAGAAGGTGTCCCTGCCCATGGCAAGGTGGCTGGAAGGGTTGGAACTAGATGATCTTAAAGTCCTTTCTAACCCTAACTATTCTATAATTCTATTACTTAATTCCATCATTAAAATAATCTAAATATGTATTTCTCAAACAAAAATACAGTTTTAAGATGTATTTTGTAACTATCGTAGGAACTGATATTCTTAAGAATTATTGAAAAAGACCCCATAAACCTGAGAACATATATACTTAAGTGTACCAGATACCTCACTAACATGCTTGAATTACACATAAAAGTAAGTAGGCAATTTTGGAGCACAAGTGAGCAAAATTATTTTAAATCGTGTAACCTAATGGAAGTTGGCTTTGCCATCATACATATTAGCTTCAGGAAGTTTATATTAATAGCTGTATCTGTCTTGAAAGACTCCTTCAGATATCTGACTTCACATCCTTCAAGCAGTACTACCGGGTCTAGCCCCATTACTGCGACCTTGTGAACTCTGACTACTTTAAACAGGTATGAATTTCTGAGAAGAAAGTACATGTCAAGCAGAGGAGCAGGTTTGTTTTGTTTGGTTTTTTTAATCTTCTTTGTATCTAAACCTGTTTTGGATTGGGTTTTTTTAGACATTTTGAAGGGGGAGGAATTTGTAAAACCTGTTGTTCTACGATCTCACTGTCCTCCATGTCATTACTAGGGTTACTTAAAGGGCAGCTTCTGAGACTCATCATCATTCTTAAAAAGATGTACAATGCAAATTGTTCTGTAAAAAGTGTTAACAAAAAAATACCAGGCTGTAACCACAGCAGTTTATTGCTCTGAATTCAGACATTCAATTAGACAAGCTTAAGTAAGTTGTTTTACAAACTATTTTAAACTAGTCTTATCTACCTGTCAAAGGTACAAAACTATCAGAATCATTTTCAAACGTCTACTTTAAAACACAAATTAAAATGCAACTGTTTAACTTTTTATTCAATACCTGGTGTGTAAGTAAAACGTTGAGACTGGCTTTTTTTCCTCTTGCCATTGCAGAGATAAAACTGCACCTGAACTGCGGCTGTAATGGCTTTGTTATGGTATGGAGGAACTTCAAGTATGATGTTTGCCTGTATGAATGTTGAAACAAAAATGTTTTACATATCAAATGCAAATGAAACTGCTATTAATTACAGAAAAAATAGAACACATTGCAAAACTAGAGCACACTGACATTCTGAAATTGGTAAACTGCAAGCTCATGTGTATTATACAGTGAAACAGTACTATAAGCAACATACATACTTTCATCTGGAGACTTTTTTTCTTCTTTTACACACAAGTGTTCTGAAAGTAATACTTTTAATCAAAACAAACACATCATCTAAAGGATGCTTTATCTGCCAGAACAAAAAACTCAAGCAGTCAAAAAACTGCATTTTGGATAATTTTGTTTTGAGAAAAATTTCAAGGCACTGGAAATTATCTGTCATCTTAGCAAAATTATCATCTGTTTTCTTTTTTCGATTTGTTTTTTCACTGCATTCACAACAAGGATGCTATTTCCAGTTCCTTTGCAGCATCATCTTAATGGCTACTTAGTATTAAGCCAATTTGGAAGTCTCCAGTTGTCTGTCTGAAACAGCCAGTGATGTACTTCACTAAATGAAGTCTGAATTTCAGAACAACGAAGATGTCTAGTTTCCCACTTTAAAACAGGAAGCTTTATAAAGTAAGAAAAATTGTTTCTCACCCCTTGACACTTTTCCCTCATTATTTTCCCTTCAACCTCCCATTGAGGTCGTCCATCTGTTGAGAGAAATGTACAAGCAATTCAAGCAAAAAGCATTTTCTGAAATACTTTAATACTTAACCTTAAAAATATTTCAATAATTCACACAACTGCATTTGTTTTTAGTCATAAAGAGGCCATTCAACTGACAGAGATACTGTAAACAAAGTGTAAAGTATAGAGATGCTTTAGGAATTTCTATGATATCCACAAGTTGATTGCTGCACAGGATTCTGCATTTGAACAGAAGCTGCTGCTGCTTATGTTAAGTTAGAGTCAATTCCAAAGGAGGCAGTGCGCACTGTAAGTGTACAGAGATAATTTTTATCCCATTTTTCTAAAAACCTTTCTGAAAGGTAGCTAAATTACTGCTAACTCCTCAGATTATCCAACAAACATGCTGATGACTTGTAAGTGAAGTCACCATGTGAGAGATAACACAGACCTACATGCACATACCCACAGGTTACACCTGTAAAATAAACAGTCTCCCCTGACCTGAAAGACCCTGTGGCTCAAACACTGGGCAATCCATCTGTGTTGCGAGGTGCGAGGGAAGTAAACTGCCCAGTGACCCTCTCTCTGGTCTGATTTTGCATAACCCCTCAGCCTGAATGTAATGCTCGGCACTACTGTCGCTGGTTTTTGAACAAATTTTTCAAGCAACTTAGCAGCAGTACCTATTTAACAGGCATTAACGTTGTTTGCTCAAATACATCATTACCTAAAACTCCCAGTTACCTTGTATTTGCTAATTAAAAAAGATCCAGCTCTTTTACTTAAATATTTAAAGAAACAATGTGGAAGAATTAGACATGGTTGCCAACTTTTCTTTTCAATGATTCATTTTGCTACTGTTTTCCCAGAAGTTCAAATAAAGTATACAAGTCACAGCAATGATAACTTAAGTTGCTCAAATTTTATCCTCTCTGTATTAAAAGGGACAATTAGGGAAGAAAAGGAACTCTTTGTATTAAGGCAGTTAGTCCTAAGTGTTTGATGATTTTGCATACATTTTAGTCTAAGTAAGAAATATTAAGATGAAGTGTATATCCCAGAAGAGCTATACAACCAGGAAGGAACCCTGAATAACTGAACACCTTTTGAGTAATATGTATGTATGTAACCAAGTGTGTATATAATACAAAACAAAGCTAAGAAAACTTTCAATACATTCATAGAATTATAGAATCATGGAATAGTTACGGTTGGAAAGGACCTTAAGATCATCTCGTTCCAACACCCCTGCCATGGGAAGGGACACCTCCCACTAAACCATGTCACCCAAGGCTCTGTCCAACCTGGCCTTGAACACAGCCAGGGATGGAGCATTCACAACTTCCCTGGGCAACCCATTCCAGTGCCTCACCACCCTAACAGGAAAGAATTTCCTCCTTATGTCCAATCTAAACTTCCTCTGTTTAAATTTAAACCCATCACCCCTTATTCTGTCACTACAGTCTCCGATGAAAAGTCCCTCTTCAGCATCCTTGTAGTCCCCCTTAAGATACTGGAAGGCTGCTATGAGGTCTCCACGCAGCCTTCTCTTCTCCAGGCTGAACAGCCCCAACTTTTTCAGCCTGTCTTCATAGGGGAGGTGCTCCAGTCCCCTGATCATCCTCATGGCCTCCTCTGGACTTGTTCCAACAGCTCCATGTCCTTTTTATGTTGGGGACACCAGAACTGCACACAATACTCCAGGTGAGGTCTCACAAGAGCAGAGCAGAGGGGCAGGATCACTTCCTTTGACCTGCAGCTCCTTTTGATGCAGCCCAGGATGCAGTTGGCTTTTTGGGCTGTGAGCGCACACTGACAGCCGGCTCATGTTCATTTTCTCATCGACCAACACCCCCAAGTCCTTCTCCACAGGGCTGCTCTGAATCTCTTCTCTGCCCAACCTGTAGCCATGCCTGGGATTGCTCCCACCCAGGTGCAGGACCTTGCACTTGTCATGGTTAAACTTCATGAGGCTGGCATCAGCCCACCTCACAAGTGTGTCAAGGTCCCTCTGGATGGCATTCCTTCCCTCCAGGGTATCAACCGAACCACACAGCTTGGTGTCATCAGCAAACTTGCCAAGGGTGCACTCAATCCCACTGTCCATGTCAGCGACAAAGATGCTGAACAAGACCGGCTCCAACACCGATCCCTGAGGGACACCACTCATTACTGGTCTCCAGCTGGACATCACAATTATATCTGGTTGTAGTAAATTAAAAATTAAAGTATTTAGTAGGTTTTGTTTTTGTTTTAAATTCTCTAGTTAATGGAGCTCCAGTATTCTGAAAGTGATAGTGAAAGTATATGGATTTAGGGGGAAAAAAACCTCAGCTTTCAAACCTGTACTTGTATTTAAAGAAAGATATTTTAGAAACACTTATCCAAAATTTGCAAGTCTCTTGCTTGCTTTGGAGATTCTGTGTCCTATATGTTCAAGTGAAAAATTTAATATTGGTTTTTCATTTAATGAGGTCAGCATGAAGAAGTTAAATTTTTCTGTTGCTTTCACTGCATGAAGGACACACTATGTCTTTAGTACATCTGAACTGAAATACATGCCTGCAATATCATTGTGAACTCTACTGTGCTAATAAACAAGTGTAACTGCTGCACTTCTCACCTATGACTACATGCTGCCATGCTGCCTAGGAGGCTGAACTTGGATTCCAGAAAATGCGAATCATGTAATAAACTAATTAACATTTCTGATTCTGTCTTGTTCAACATCTTTGTTGCTGACATGGACAGTGGGATTGAGTGCGCCTCAGCAAGTTTGCCGATGACACCAAGCTGTGTGGTTCGGTTGATACACTGGAGGGAAGGAATGCCATCCAGAGGGACCTCGACACGCTTGTGAGGTGGGCTGATGCCAACCTCATGAAGTTTAACCATGCCAAGTGCAAGGTCCTACACCTGGGTGGGAGCAATCCCAGGCACAGCTACAGGTTGGGCAGAGAAGAGATTCAGAGCAGCCCTGCGGAGAAGGACTTGGGGGTGTTGGTCGATGAGAAACTTAACATGAGCCAGCTTCAGTGTCTGCTCACAGCCCAGAAAGCCAACCGCATCCTGGGCTGCATCAAAAGAAGCATGACCAGCAGGTCAAAGGAGATGATCCCGCCCCTCTACTCTGCTCTTGTGAGACCTCACCTGGAGTATTGTGTGCAGTTCTGGTGTCCTCAACATAAAAAGGACATGGAACTGTTGGAACAAGTCCAGAGGAGGCCACGAGGATGATCAGGGGACTGGAGCACCTCCAGTATGAAGACAGGCTGAAAAAGTTGGGGCTGTTCAGCCTGGAGAAGAGAAGGCTGCGTGGAGACCTCACAGCAGCCTTCCAGTATCTGAAGGGATATTAACAAGGATGCTGAAGAGGTACTCTTCATCAGAGACTGTAGTGGCAGAACAAGGGGTGATGGGTTTAAATTTAAACAGGAGAAGTTTAGATTGGACATAAGGCAGAAGTTCTTTACTGTGAGAGTGGTGAGGCACTGGAGTGGGTTGCCTAGGGCGGTTGTGAATGCTCCATCCCTGGCTGTGTTCAAGGCCAGGTTGGACAGAGCCTTGGGTGACATGGTTTAGTGGGAGGTGTCCCTGCCCATGGCAGGGGTGTTGGTACTAGATAATCTTATGGTCCTTTCCAACCCTAACAATTCTATGATTCTATGATTTCTTGGCAATTAAATAACTGATGGGTGTCAAACTCACATGTTTAACACACATGAAGGAAATCACTACTGTTCATACTGTTGCTTACTGCCAGTATTTTACCTACATGCACACTTGTCTGTTTGCAAATTGGACATAGACATAGCTGAAGGATACACTGCACCCCAAATCTGAGCCAAATCTTGAAACTTGTTAATAAATGCAGCCCTGAAGAATAACCGAAAATCTTATGCATATATATGGGGGGGGGGGGGGGGGGGAGGAAATCAGTCGTACTTTCTAACTGATATTACATTAGCTTAGGAGTAAGTCAGTTCCTGTGCAATAATTAAATCAGATGTAACATATCATCAATGCCAAACAGTACATTTCCTTTTTATTTTTTAATTTCTTCTTTTTTTAAATGAGAAAATGCACAATAATATCTGTTCACAGCATCTTTCAAATACACACAATTCCAAGTTAGGTAATCTGTAACTGTCTTCCTGAATCACAAGTACATCTTCATTAATAATTGCCAACCAGCATACAGATCAATGGCCAACCTGAAGTTTCAGATTACTCCTTGTGACTGTTTTTTTTACTTTAAGAAATGTCCTTACTTCCTAAAATTAAGCTCAGGCTTGTGGTTTCAGCTTTGTTTTGAAGCCAAAAAAGCAAGAGTACTTACCTTGTCCTTTTTCAAAAAATATAATTTTGGATTCTGGAAGAAAATTGGATCCTGTCACCACCATTTCATGGCCTCCATTTACTGAGCAACTGTTGATGCTGTACTTCTCAATCTGAGGGAGTTCTTGAGCAGATCGCTGAGCTTTAAAAAAAGACAATTAAGGGAAAAAGTCATTATTCTCAATTTTAATCATAGTGACATATCTTTTATGATCCTAACTTGAAGAATCAGGGGTGAGAACAAACCAATCATCTATTTACATATATAAATAATGTTTTTGTATGATTTATCTTTGTTTTTAAAATTATGTTGAAATTATATAAATATAGAAAAGGAACACCAAGAAGCCACGAATCCCAACAGTCTCTACCTAGTGTTACAGCAAATTAAATATTTAGTTTAGGAATATTGATTTAAAAATTACTTCAGTATTTTATGAAGAAAATTAATTCTAGGAGAAATTCAGGTTAAGGTCACGTTTTGATTCCTCACTGTCAGCATTAAGCAAATGAACTCTTTAGAAGTTCAGCTGTGCATTAGGTAATACTGTCACAAAGACTAGTAATGGTATAGACTCTTTTAAATGAAAGGGTATTAGCTCTTCCTAAAATGAATATTTATTTATTTTCACTGAGATGTATCAGCTGCCTCTGCCCATATTGATGAACCACTGAAGCTGCTAGCTGCATGACTGCAGTATTAGGTTTAAAGCCTGTAACGCTGGTTTTCCTCCAAATCTTCAGGCTGCCATTTAGGAAGTCCCATCTTTATAAAAAGCTGTATTAATTTTTGGTAATTTAGCTCTTTACACACAATGCTTTTTACACACACTTGTTACATATAATTCTGACAATAAATATTATCAGAATGACAATATTACTAACACATGCAGGAGACATGAGTATAAATGATGTATAGTTAAAGCAGTCTTACAGCATTCAACAGGTATGGAAGCAGTCTGCAGGGATAAGACTTTTCCGCTAGGTTGTGGGATGTGAACACGAAACACAAGCCGCACTCTGGTATTCTTTCTTCCAATATCTGTCTCTCCTTTACGGAGCTCTATATCTGAATTGCGAAGTTTCAAAATACCAGCACAATCGATACTGGAGGTAGGTGAGGACAGGTGGAGCAGAAGAAAAATGGAAGAAAATTAATCAAACTATTAATAAAGTACACTCTGTAAGCCTTTCTTTTGTTAAAGAATGAACAGCATTCTGTTTTACCCCATGTTATGCTATTTTAAATGTTATTTTAAATGTCTGAGATTAAAAGATCTGCTAGTGTCAAAACCAGCAGCAAGTACTCTGTTGAAACTTTTCGTTTTATAAATAACTAGCTGCTGTTTTTTCGAACCTTTGAAAGATTATGTTGTTATTGCACATTGTTTAACCTTTGTAGTAAATCATTTAACATAATGAACATCATCAACAATAGGAGCAAGAGAACTATATTTACTTCTGTCTTAGGAAGGACTAGAGAATGACAAAAGCATAGCCGTCAAATCCCAGCTGCTATTCCACATAGCTCTTGGCTATTCATATGACACACACATAGTTTAATCAAGTAACACCTATAGACAAACTGGTGAGGAGTGCTCTCTTGCACATCACCATGGCTTCATAGCCTTCAACAGAAGTAGCATAAAGTCCGCACCTAGGAAAATGTAAACTGACTTCAGAAGTCTACATAAGAAATAAATGTGCTATATAAACAAATAATTGTACTTTGCTCTGTTCACTGACCCTTCAGATAGAATGGAGCTATTTAATTGTTGCTGTAACTTACCATTAAAGTATTATTTGGCACATATGATCCAGCAAGACCTGAAAAGCCAGATTAATGCAACTGCTAAAAATAAAATAATCAAAACAAGGAGAAGGCCTACTATGATACCACAAGTTAAAAATCACCATATTCAGTCAAGGAACAAATAGCTAAGTTGTATATGACGGTATTTTCGTAGAAAAAAAAAAAGTCTGTCTTTATAAAATCAAACAACCTCCACTGCCAGTAACCCACATGCAATCTACAAATGTGGAGTCAGATGTATGTATAGATTGCATGGGGAAAAATAATCCCAGAAGTGCTCATCTATCTCCCTGTCAATCTTATGAGCTACCGTCTGTCCCCTCCTTTTCTTTTGAGTACCTGAACACTGGCATGTTTAAAGAGATGTGTCTATCTCAGTCATGAGCCATATTTGTGGAAAATAAGATATTCTACAAGATTTTCTTTCACCTTTGCACAAATGAAAAAGGCACATACAACTACACAGCTAAATTATGCTGTGACATACCTGGCTGACATATTATTTTCAGGAAGAAGCGGTATTTCCAGAACTTTTGTGCTGGCAATTATTATCTCTTGACTAGCTGTTGCAACTGTTTTTCCAGTGATTCGGTGCACCTGGTAGAACGCATGAGGTCTTAAGTACCGATCATCTGCTGTGCCGATAAACATCTGCAGGTTTACTTGCTTTTCGCTGTAACCCAGGAGCTGGTGAAAAAGTAGGTGTAATATTAAAGTATTAGTTGACTCTTAACTGCACTTGTACGTGCATAATATAAATACACAACTAGTACAAAGACTTAAGAGTCAAAGAGTAGCATTTACTTACAAACTTCAATATCTTCAGAGAACTAAACACAGGCATCTGTCTGTCCTCCAGTACAATAACAGTATCAACAATATTTACCAAAACAAACTAGCATCTAACTTTTTACTTTTACCTCTCTCAATTCTTATGTACAGGATTTCTACATCAAAGCTATGCTATGTTATAGGTGTGTTTCTGATATTGGTTTTAATCAAAGCCAAATTACCAACTGTACTAAGATACACCTAGTTTCTAAAAATACAAAAAAAATATTTTCAAGTTTAGTTTTTCTACTACAGAATGCAGTAATGAGTTTTATTAAGAGATTTGGTGTATGCAAATGTTAGGATACAGAAAATCTAATTCATAAATAGGAGATCATGTATGGTTTATTTCTGGCACATAAAATGTTTTTAAAACCAAAAGTTGATCAATGTTAACTCCTGCATCTTTCCTTTTCTTAAATATAAGGCTAACCACCAACTACTACTTTCAAAAAGTATTTTTTTTTAAATACCAAATGAACATTTTTGTATTTTCCATGAGTCTGAATTATTTTAGGAGTTTAAAGAAAATTTGAGAACATGGATTAGTTTAGCACTCACAGCAACCATCTTGTTCCAACTTCTCAACACCGACTCTACCATCCATTTTCCTCACAGTTAAAATTAAATCTTAATACACTGGAATACACCCTAAATGACATCCATTAAATGTGTTCACTCTAATACTGGGAATTATGTAAATTACAAGCCTATTAAAAAATTTGAATAGCTTCCAAATAGGGTCACTGTGGCAAAGCTAATTTCCCATTAAAACTATCTTCCCCTTCCTTAACAATGGATGTGCACACAATAGTTCCAAGAGAGAAAAAGAGGGTGAGGGGTAAGGACACTAACAAAACTAGGCTGGTGTGTCTGCAATCAGTGGAGAAGCTCCCATCTACACGAGCCTACACACAGCAGGAGTTTGTGAAGAAAATCTACCCCATGCCAGCAGTTAAAATGGTATTGCCTATGAGACTGTATGGCCATATGCTACATTTGAACTGCACAAAGTCATGTCTAATGCAGGTTTTCCTTCCATTTTTCCTTGGTGCTCACCCAGATATGCTATGACGGGAGATGTTTAGGGCTTGGTATATGCAAAGCACGGGGGGGGGGGGGGGGGGGGGGAGAGGGGGGAAGGAGGAAGTCTTACAAAAATTGCCCACCCCACTGGCAGATAAGTTATGTATCAGTAGGTTCACAAGTGCATTTCCTGTACAATGCTCTTGCAATATAAGCTCTTGAGACTGTTGACTGTCTAACATCACTGCAGTACATCAGCATACCAGAGTAAAGATGTGAAACTACGTTAGTACAGCTTCAGAAGAAATAATACCCCCCCCCCCCCCCAAGATCCTGCACAGTAGCACCACCTTTAGTTACCCTCCTTTGGTTTATGTATCAAATCAAATCAAAACAAACAAGAAATCCAGCACCCCACGAAAAAAATGTCACATAACAGAATACTTTTTTATAATAACTTAGAAGAAACCTATGCATGTTATAGTACAGAATTATATAAATAAGGCATCTCATAATTAAAAATTATCTGTGATAACATCAGGACAACCCCCTGATAATATATATTCATATATACTTATAAGCTGTAATAGTATAAGCTATATATTCATATATACTTAAAAGCTATAACAGTATAAAGCAGTCTTCAAACAAAAAAGCCATACTATAGCTTACAGTACATATTTGTCACAAATGAACTGCTGTAAAGGCTCTGCAGTGAAGCCATATTAAAGGTACTATAATATATGGTATACATATAGCATATTCCAATATCTATAGATATATATATTATATGGGTAGATGGAGTAGTGACACACTGGCAAGGTAGCAGAGACTTCATAAATTTTTACTTTGCATTACAGAGGAGTTATTGCATTTATTCAAAGTTTAAAAATAAAAATTTAAAATGCATTCCATTTAGGTACAGTTCTGTTCTAGTTAAAAACCACCCACAACTCGTTGATCGCTCACCATTGACACTGGGGTGACACTTACTATCTCATCTGTTTTATGCACAATTCCCTATGCTGAGCAGCCCAAACATTTAAGTCAGTAAAAAAATAATTTCTAACTGTTCTTCAACGAAAATACCTACATAATTAACTTGAAAGAACCTAATGAAACCATGGTACCTGTACCTTTCGTTCCCCTTTGTAAAGAATACACAGTGTATATAAATAAGAACATAGTGTCTCCATATAGACCATAGGCAGTTAACAGCAATTACAACCTATTGGTAAGTGCTGCAGAATCACCACGAAGCAGATGCACTAAAATAAACTGCTGAAATATCAGTGTGCCCAAGATGCTGTCACAGGTCACTTATAGGAAGACAACAACTTGAACCACTGGTTGAGCGCCACATATATTTTCAAGTATACCTTCCAGCACTTACTCTGTTAATGTGCAATCCTACAGCTGCACATTACGGAAAAAAAAAAAAAAGGCAACCCCCCTCCCCCAAATAAAATCCTTACTAATTTTACTTTAAAAGACATAAAACTTTCCCAGGAGTAACAAACAGCCTGCTGCAGACAACTACTAAGTTACTGCACGCTGTCACTACTGACCTCTAGAAACCTTCCTCTGCAACAGAACACTGATACACCACCCACTGCTCTGCTGAGGAAACTCAGCCAAGTTGTTTTTGTGTTTCTATATCGTTTCCATAGCAAAGGTCAGTGCATGCGTAAGTTAAACTAAAGCTGGAAGGCTAAAGACTGGAGGTCACCACAGGATAAGCCAGAAGGGCTTCATGCCAAAGCAGTTCCAGTCGTGTTACTATACCGCATACAGTAAACCCACGCATGCATGTCAATACTTAGCTTACAAATTTTACCAAGGAACTACAAAGACAGTAAGCTGGTGAGAGAATTTTTGGATCATCAATAAACTGTATTTTAGATTACAAAACCATTCAGAAATTCTTATTGCACATATGGAAAATATTAAAAAAATGTGTAACGCTAGAGACTATATAGAACAATTCTATCACTCAAGACCACAGCATTTAAACCTGAAATTTTGCAGCAGTTGGAAGAACATTTTTGTTGCTGAGGAAAGCAAATAGGTCCTATTTGCTAAATGGGAGGCATCAACGTGGAAAAACAGCATTTTTCCCAATTAGATGAAGATTATGGCTCAGATCTCACCAGTTCCATGCTTTGATCTAAAGGAAAGTTTGCAACACTCCACAAGCTTGTGAGAAGACATTTTTTAGTCTCTAATGCTTAGAAGTTTCACCTCCCCCACCTGCCTTTTTAAAAAATTCAGAAGATTCTACCTATATTTTCCATTTACAGTTACAGGCCAAGTATCACCAATCTTGACTCAAATGTATTCACAACTTATGAATTCTTAAGACATGTAACAATATTTAGGAAAAATATAAAACAGAAAATACACACTTCACAGTAAAGAGGTCCTTAGCAGACAATACTAGTATAACTTGAAATAGTCTGTTTTCGAAACCCATACCCCCTTTGCTTATTTAAAAAGCCCAATACCTAATAGCGCCACTAAAACCAGAAACAATGTCAGGGTTTCACATGCCTACTGTTTCAGCCTAAAAATTAAAGAAAAAAATAGAACTCATCTGTGTGTGTTAGAAAACCCATTTAATTAATTAGTTAAGTTTTATGTTCAGCAATCAAGCAATACTATGATGTTAATGACATTCAGACAGAGCCCAAACCCATTTGACTATTTTAAAAGCATTTTTCTTGCAAAACTTCCCACCATTTATTAGGAGATTGCTATGCTTAATCAAACTTTCACCAGGGTTTATAAAATACTCATGTCTTCTCTTCCATGCGCCTTTTCTTTGCTTGCTAGTTGAAGATGAATAGTCTGTCAATGCTTTAGTGCTCCTTCACCTTTGTGCAATTAACTTACTGCTTATGGCATTACTGGATTGGTACAATAGACTGACTAAAAAGCAAGCTTTTTACATACAAGTAGGCCTTCCTAAATACAGGGCAAAGTCTTGAAATACAAGACATGTCAAGGGAAAAGTTTGGGATAACTTCAGTAAACAAAAGACTTTATTAACAACAATATCTTCACCAAATGCACCAGTATTCATATAAAAATCCTCAGTCTTCCATGAAAAACATGGAAGGAAACAGCTATGTAAAGAACTATAAGCACTTACTAAGCATTTACTAGAGAGGGACATTTCCTAGGCTTTTCAATACCTTGATATGAAAAGCATGCTGTAACTAGTTATTTCCTCCTTGACAGTCTCATGGCAGCTGGATGCATTTCATTGACTTTTGTATTCCTTAGAACACCATTAAAGTGACAAGGCAAAAAGGGCAGGAGAGGAGAATGAAGGCCCCTTCCTAGGGGGGAAAGGAAAGATAAAGCTTTCTCTTGAATTAGGTATTTCCACTTTTACTTTGGAAGACTGAGTAAGGATATGGTCTAATTCACTACAAAACCTAAGCAATCCTAAAGCAAAAGAACTTGAACTGCTTAAATTTTAGTCCACATTTGAAGTAATATTTTTTTATTTCATTTAAAGATAAAAAAGTCAAAGCATCCCTTTGAAATGTTTGCCCTTTGAGACAACAGAGATGTGAGCTACAAGACTGGAATTTTTTTGGACAGTAATAACAGGGTGCACAGCTTTGAAGAACCGAATCTTTTTCTTCAGACATTTCTCCACGAAAATTTAATTTTCAAGTGGTGTGCAGCAACTTTCCTAAAGATCTGCGAAGGATGCTAGTTTAAACCTGAAGGGCTACTCTGCCAAGCTGAACAACACACCCATTAGCAATGACCTGGGAATAAAAGCAATGGATGACAAAGATCCAAAGGAATGAAAATGA